GGCTTAAAAGGGAAACATCATTATCAAATTAGGAAAAGGACTAAAGGGATGTAATTTCTCATTTCTGTCACCAAGAATGGCTGGATTTAACCCCCCAAAAAAAGATATTTTTCTTATTCAGAGAAAAAGGTCAATTAATGGGATCTTGAAAGAAATGGAGAGAGCAAGCTGCAAAGTGAGCGATTCGCTTCTTGGAATTTTTCGTTAGTTGCGAAATGGTGTATGCATCTTGTAGATTAAATTTACTTTAGATAAAAAGAAATGGATTCTCTGCAGCGTGATTCAGATGACATGGTGGAGTTCGTCAGGAATTGCCCAATGGAATTGAAGGAGTATTACATCCAAATGCAAGCTGCTAAAAGAAGCGAAGCCCCTCTTCCTTCTCAGGTGATTAGTTTTCTTTGTATTTGAAGCTTCTAGTTGCTTCATCCAAACCTGAATATAATCACAAATAATCCTGAATTTATTGACTGGATTTATAGGATAAAGTTTTTACTCGATAAATTATATTTGGGTGGATGTATTTTGCTCTTTTCTTTTTTAAACTTGGGGGTAAGGTGAGGCCCAAGGATCAAAGGTTATGGATGTGTAAGGAAAGGGCGTTGTGAGAATTGGATGTTGCATCTCTGATATTTAGGTATGTGTTTCTTGAATGACTCACTGATTGAGATTTTTATTAACATTTTCTAGTGTTTCTTGTGGGAACTTTCTGAATTTCATTTTTGGGCTTTCTTGTTTTCGTTTTTGTATAAATCTTGTTTGGGTGGAGTATTTTCTTTCATGCATCAACCATTCCTCTTAAACAAGGCAGTGGAGAACTGTTGATATTCCATAGAAATATCCAAAACAGAAACTGAAATTTAAAACACAGAAGGGATTGGGGGAATAAATGGTAATAGGACCTAAAAAATATCTCAAACAAAGTTGCAAACCTATTGGAGTATATGACAATTCAAAATACCGAAGAGAAGGAAGGATTCTAGGTTATTTTAATTAGGTGATTAGCCAGCTGAGAAGTAGTTTGTGCTATCTGTATTAATTGAGAAACTCCACTAGAAGTTGAGTGAATGCAGTAGATTGAGGGGACATTTCCTGTATCCTTGAGTTTGCACATTTACTTAACTCAATGTGTTTCATGAAAATAAACACCAAACAAAAGATAAAAATATAAGTATTGGGAACTGATCCATCCCACATCCTAAAATTTGCATTTTGGTGCATACGACAAGAATCATCTATGGTATCACGTATCAAAAAAATAATCTTCTATGGTATTCGTCTTACCTTCTGACTTTAATATACAGATAAATGATGACCGTATGATTCTCGATAAGACCGTTGCTGATCAAGTCTCTATTTGGAAAAAAAGCAAAGGTCTTGGTGATAATGTGGTCAATGGTCATGCCTGCTCTGGAGAGACATGCGCTTACCATCAAATTGGCGATGTATTTGTCTGTGAAAAAACTGGAAACGTTCATGGTAAGAAAATGTTTGCAACAGTGCAAACCAGTCATTCGATAATTCGAAAGATGAATCCCTGTGGGTGATTGCTTTGTAATTATTGGTTTTCTCTTGTGTATTGGTGCAGTTTGTGATGACACATGCAGGGAAGTTGTACTGGATCCTACAAATGGTCTGCTGGTGTGCACTATTTCAGGCCACTGTTTTGATAGTATGCTGTTGTCACCAGATGAAATGGAACCAGATGTGGTAAGAACCTAGTGGTAGCTTACAGCGATTCTGGAATTCACTATTTTTTTAAACAGTGTGAACGGTCAACTTAAGGACACATGAAAAGTTTGTGTGCCAATTTTTGGAATTTTCTTAGAATAAGTAAACAATGATTATACTGACGTGCCGAAGTTCACTTGTTTCTGAAGGTGATAAAGTGTGCTATTCTTCTAAAAAGAAGTGTTGCAATTCTAAAATGAAAATCGTGTCTATATGTAGATGTCTGGTATATCTTTTTCACTTTGATATAATCTGAGTTAGAGAAAAGGTATAAACAATCAGTCAATTGTTTGTTGGATTGCGTTTTGTTAGTGGCCTTTACCCTCAGATCCTAACTCCCATAGGAGTGATATCTCCATGTCCATCCATCCAGGAATCTCTTAGTTATCATTTGCAGCAGCTACGATTATGTAACGTCTTAGTGTACGCATAGGTTGTTAATAACTAGTTTTAATAGATGAGGGTCTAATACATCTGGCAGTATAGTTTTATGTCAAAATATAATGAGCCTCGAAAAACATCTAGTAGCATCTCACTACTATGCTATATTTGCATCCATGTAAAAAAATACTTTAGTGATCTTAAAGTACAATGTTTTAAATACTTGTTTCTATAATATGTAAATCATTATAGTGAACTTTAGCTAATTTTTCCCTTTTGTTTGTTGAAATATAGGACCAACAACAAGCTGGTACGACAGACGAAGCAGAACCGCTCATGGGCTCGGGTCTTTTTGGTATGTTAGTTGTAATTCTGTCTTCTGGTTTATTAATCACTCAACTCCTTTTCACCTTCTTTTTCTGCTTATACTACTTCAGCTCGAGCCTATTTACTGGGGTATAACTGCCATGACGACAAGGAACTGAAAGATGCTTTGCGCTTTTGCTGATTCAACTGTTTATCACCGTTGAAGGCTGTGGTGGGTTGGTAAGGTTCCTTCCACCTTGAACTAAAGGTCTCAAACTCGAGTTTTGGAAACATGGAACGTCTTGGTAGGAAGCACTTTACTCCCCTCCTAGCGTACCTTTCCAGCACGCTCGGGTTAGTCTGCTGGATTTTCTCCATGTTCAGAGAAGGAATAATTACAGTTTAGTCTATCATGTAATTGTAGATTATATAATTTTATGTAGTATAGATTAATTAATTTAAGTTGTTACAAGGCTTATATAGTTTTGCACTTAATATTCTCCTGCATCTGGTTGTGGCTTTTCTCTAATGACCTATCATTAGAGAAAGAAACATAAAGTTTAATTTCTATTTAGTATAAGGTATAGGCTTGAATTGTGGAGAGGTGTTCAAAACTCAAAGGTTGAAAATAAAAAAAAGATTTATTTGGGGAACAAGTCAAATAATAAAAGTCAATTTGCTATGAAAAAGGTTGACCATAAAGACTCTTTGAAATAATAAATACTTCTAGGTATAGGGTTAATAGTAATTTAGGTCTCTTAGTTATTAAGTTATAATTTTAGTCCTTGTGATATTAGATTAAATATATTTAATCTTTAATCAATTGAAACACGCACTTTTGATTCCTTTTGTTTATGAATATTTCACACATTTACTATGATTATCAATTGCTCCACCACGTAACTACTTGTGTACGATGTTAAGCTTTTGAGTTTCACTTGAACTATTAGGCATGTAAATTTTTTATCTGAACTATCACCAAATATTTATCGGAATACACACTAGAATTATCATTTGCTCACTTATCCTATCTAAAATATAACCATTGTTCAAGTAGGAGAAGTGAAAAATCAGTAATTTAGGTGTGTTTTAATAACCATTTGGTGATAGTTGAGATATAAAACTCAAAAAGTTGAAATACTTTAATTGTATTTTTGACCTTTAACTCGATTTTGACAATAATATAGTTCTAAAAATATTTCAAACATAACATGTTCCTAAATATAAGGACCAAAAACACACTTCAATTATAAAAGGTTAAATGCGTTTTTCACGAGGATTAAATTTGAATTCACCAATAATTAATAGACCAAAAGTGCCATTTAATTTTGCCTTCTAGGTAATATATTTATGTAAAATTTTGAAAAACTAGAAATTCTAGAGGAGAAAAATATTGAACACCTCAATTAATAGTAATTAATTAATCACCTCATAAATGGTGTAATTAACACGCGGAAAATATTTAAAAGAGTAAAATGGCTTATAAATACTCATCCATATCCACTCTTGTCAAATTCTTCCTTCAATTAATTAATATACACTTTTTTTTTTTTATCTTCATAAGGAAATCTGTAAGGACCCTCTCCACTTCATGAATTTTCTTTTTTTATTGTTAGTTTATATGAATTTTCCTTAGACTCCACCGGTGGGATTACATTGGTTTTGTTGTTGTTGTGGTTAATGTATATGAATTTTCGAGGTTGGTTTTTTTTTTTTTTTTTTTTTTGTTTTAGAAG